ATGGTATGCACATATGAAAAGCAAGTGGAAAATATAGATCCTCCAATTGAAATTATGGAAGTATTTGAGATAAAAGCACCAGATAAAAGTAGGGAAAAGGTGAAGTTGAACAGAGTAACTTTACTTATGCAGGTGGATAATGGAAGTGATATTACGTTGATACAGAGAAATTTGGGGGAAAGATTGGTTAGACCAAAATTAAAGAAAAGTAATCTCCAGTTGAAACAGTTCAATGGGTCAATCATCAAAATTTTAGGATGCTTTGAAGACACATTTGAGAAAAAAATAGATTTGAGATAATACCCATCATAGTGGTGGAAAACACTAAAAGCCACGGAATGAAGTCTGTAGAACCAAATGTTGGATTATTAAAGGGTTTATGAGAAATAAGATATGATTATCTGCCATTGGCAGTTAAAGGTTAGCCAATTGACTCACAGCTGCTGATTGGCACACTTTTCTACCTTTTTTGAACAACTCTTTACTTTTGGTACCAAAAGACCTTTGGAAAGATTACATTATGAACGGGTCATCTCTACACCCTTATCATCACAGTCCGTAGAAAGAGAGAACATCAACTCACCCTCAACAAATAAATTTGGTCACAAACACCATTAAGTTTGCAAGGACCCATTTGTAATGCTTATTAATATAATTTGTACAAATCATGAGTCAGTTGCATTCTATTCTACTAGTACTACATCTGTATCCGCCATGTGGGAATCTATTCAAATTACCCATATGATACAAGGCAATTATTCAGCATAAAAAAAGCAGTAAACCCATTCATTTCAAACCTGGAAAATTCCTGTTCACATGCTACCCTTGGTGGTTGCTAAACTGAACAAAATGATGGAACAAGGAATATTAGAAAAAAGTCAGCCAGGGTGGTAGAAATTGTGCATCACTACCCATTGTGGCAATACATAAGCTCAATGGAGATTTAAGAATTTGTGGTGTTTATAAGGTGGGCAGGAATCATCAGATATGATTGAAACAGTGTGCCATGATGTTAAAGTTTCAAGCATAGTGGCCAGGCTATTCGAGAGACATGGAAGAGTATGTTAAAAATTGCCCAAAGTGAAAAAAAAATAAAGAGATTTAGGCAAACTAAAATTTACATTTGGCCAAAGGAAATGGAGCTGTGGACACAAATAAATATCAATCATGCCTACATTAAAGGTATATGACTATTTCTGATATTAGTTGACTCATATTCAGGTTGGTTGGCCTGAAGTTATTAAATTTGTGGATAGAAAAATCACTATTGTGAAGTGGGTGTTGAGGATAGTGCTTTCAAGAAATGAAGTTCCAAAAACTTGGGTCTCTGACAATTCGCCTGAGTTTTGTGAAGAAAGTTTATGTACATGGTTAAAATGTATTGGCTGTATTCCATACAAAACACCAACTTACCACCTACAATCAAATGGAATTGCAGAGAGAATGGTTCAAAGAGTAAAAATGGGATTAAAAGCATTCTCTCCAGTGGATTGTGATATATACATTTAACCAGACAACTCCTAAGTTATAGAGCTATTTTGCATGCAGGGAGAAGACAAAGGCTATCCACATTGATGGGAAGACAAATAAGAGTTCTGATTAATGTGTCATTTGCAATGAATGAAAGTGTGTGGAAAAACAAGTACAGGGATTCAAATTCTGAAAAGGCGAATTTAACACAGCTGTATTAACAAATAATAAACAGGGCATACTGGTTCACAAAGACTAATTTAGAACTACAAGTGAGCATGAAGTTATGGAAAAGGAGGAGGAAGGGGAAGTAAAAGAATAGATAACACAAGAAAAGAGGAATGAATCCAGTATTGAGAGTGATCAGGAAGACCACCAGAGATATGAAAGGGTAGAACAGGAGAGGGAGGAGAGAATGAGAGTATCCAGTAGTAATGAGGAACAATTTGGGGATGAGAGTGACCAGAGATATCATGATGATTCAAATGAGGAGAATCATTTAAGACCTAGATCTTCTATAAAAAGAAATAGAGAGTTACTTTGAGATAGAGATTATGTCTCCTAGGGTTGTTTGTAGAAGTCAAAGATCAACTAAAGGTATAAAGCCTCTTAGGTTCAAGGAGGTATAATGATATGTAAATGAGGTACTGTATAAAAGTCAGTATTGCTATACCTATAGGAGAGTTATCTTCTTTGATGAGACTACATCTCTCAGAGAGAACATCTGTCATAACAGTGTCCATCATTAATAAATCCTGGTAAGTTTTTCAGTTCTCTTTGGATCATCTCACTGTATAGGTTAAATAAATCCAGTAAGAAAATCCTTATCTTACTTCTCTTTCTATTTTTGTACATTTGCTCAACTCATTTTCTATATGTATGCAGACTATTTGTTCCCAGTAAATGTTCTGGATTATTCCAATATTTTTTTCTTATATCAACCAAGTTTACTTAGTGATTAAAATGTTTTTGTGACAAACCTTAACAATTGCTTTTGCATAATATATGGAACATAGGTTCAGGGCCTTTTGTATTTCCTGATCATAAAGATAGCATTTTTGTTCCATTATCTTGAACAAAGCCATACTATTCTTGCCCTATTTCTGATATAATTCTTCTGTTAGCTCTATTTATTAAAATTCTAATTGTAAGGTTAGTTATATGGTTCATTAAGATAATTATTCAATGGAGCTTGCATTCATTTGTACCTGGCTTCTTTGGCATTGCTATGAAAACAGATATACTGAGGCCTTCTGGTATTTCACCATTGTTATATATTTAATTTATTTTTTTAGTAATCTTATCAATGCTGAGATTGTCTAAGTCTGATAGCAACTTTGTTACATTTGTATCTGGTCCTGCTACTTTGTTTCTGTGCATCTTGGCCAGTGATGATGTTACCTCATATATTAATATTGTATATCTTTACATGTTTTTATGTATTGTGGATTTCTCTCCTCTGTTGTTATAGAAGAGTTCTCTGATGTATTAATTCCATCTTTAAAGTATCTGTTCCTTATTTGTTATGAGTGTCCCCTTTTTAGAAGCATATTTTCTGTCCTATTATTTTTTTTACTATTTTATGCATGCCTCTGCACATTTCTCATTGAGCTATTCCTTTTTTAGCCAGGTTGCATGAATCCACTGCAAGGTCTGAGACAAAAAAAGAAGAAAAAAATAAAGCAAATAGCAGTGGTGGGATTATTAATTCTGTGGAGATGTGCCAGAGGGTTTTAGTAATATTTCTCAGAAACTTCAGATTAAACAAACAAAATCAAAGCTATAAATAAATAATATACATTTATTTATTTGACTTCCATTGGAGTCAGTTCTTTGTAATTTGGGATGGTAAAAGTATGTTCAGCTGGGTAGTTGATAGTTTATAAGTAGTCAGGAGTGTGTTTACTTTGGAAACATGTTGCGTATGCCAAATGCTGTGTTTTCTTGGCCCTCAAAGGGTGGAAAAATGTCTTAAGCAGATGAATGCTTTGTTTCTTCATGTGACACACTTAGCCAGTTTCTTTGGCTGGCCCCTCTCTACTACTGTCAGCTGTCCCTTTATATGCACTTAAGAATTGCTCCAGATTACTTGGTGTGAAGCTTAGTTTCAACTAACATCAAAAGTCTCTTTGTTCTTTTCATTAGCTAAAATTCTTTTCTTTTTTGGTGTTCTTTTCCTTTTCTTTTTGGCAGAAGTTATGTGTGGAGCCTCTCTTATTTTGGTAGTTTTCTAGTCAAAATAACTAAACCCTGGACCAGCAAACTTCCATTTCACAGTAGTTGTTTAGTTTTTTCTTCTTTTTATACGAAAGTTGCCTTCTCATGAGTTGAGAGAGAGAGAGAGACAGAGACAGATATGGGTTTTAAAGGAAAGCAAATGCTTTATTTTAATTTGAATTCTATTTTTTTTAATATTTTATTTTCATATTCTATTTTTTTTTTACATTTGGGCCCACCACAATACCATCCCATAAAAACCTACTTCATAAAATATGATTGGCACGTTTGCTGAAAAAATGATTAGATACAAATTCTATAAAAAGGAAATTATGAGAACTAAAATATGTGAAATATCTTACTTAGTATTAATAAAAGTAATCTTTCTATTTGAGGAAAGATTTGAGAATTTATGGCGAATAAAAAAGAAAGAAATGAACTGGGAAAAAATTATAAGATTTTTAGTACAAAGAATTTGGTGAAATAAAAATGCATTAAGCGAAAATGTTCTTTTTAATGAAAAAAAAAAAAAAAAAAAAAAAACCTGAGCAACTTATACCATTTTATCACCATACCTTTTTGTTGAAAAGTCAACTAACAGATTTTTTGTCTTTGTATTTGTTATTCAAAACTATTTTCATCTCCTGGGAATTTAAATGACTGTCCGATAAAGGCGGTCAAAAATATAAAGAATAGAAAAGGCCTGATGTAACCTGAACCATGCATAAAAAAAATCTTATTTCCTAAAAGTAAAACCCACACTTTGAATAACCCGAACCCGAGAAAAAGCAATTCCACGATCCCAGTAAATAATTTTACTTACTGTGATAATTAAATTTTAAATTATGTGGGTGTGGAGAACACCGGACATAATTTAAAGAAAATACCTCTATTACCCAAAACTTGCACAATCAAATAAAATGATTCAAAATAACATGACAAATTAAATGAAAAATAAAAAGAAAAGAAAAAGCAGAAGAGACTTGCTTTAATATTAAAAATGAGAGATAAAAAAGAAAAAAAAAGTCGACGTGTTTTCCCAACAGGGGAGGGAAGCTAAGTTGGTTGTGTTGGACTATCAACAAGTATCAGTCCAGTTGCCTGAAAACAAGGCTCGTCATTTTTTAAACAAGGTGCTCCTTAACATTAATTAATAACATTGTGTGGTGAAGATAAATAAAAAACGTAATGGACTTTAACATTTACTGACTGAATCTTAACTAGAATTCAAAGTTCAGAACAAAGTAGAAAAGAAAGCAACAAACCAACAAACTCCAATTTAAAAGTTGAAAACTTTTACAATATAGCAAAGAATGAATATTGACAACATTGATGTTCCCGCTGACACTGAACAACAAGCTTTGCCGGTAGTTGGTGGTAAGTCAAAGCAAAGTTATTTATTTACACAATATTTTCTTTTTACTTCTTGAAAAATAAGATTTTCTAAATATTTTCCAATGAAAAGGAAGGGATCTCTAACCCTAAAAATAAGTTATGCGCAAGAAATGTCTCTACTACTCTCTCTTTCTAGGCACTGACAGAATTTTGATTAGAATGAAAATTATTGCTTTAAAAAACAATTTTAAATTTTTTTTTTTTTTTTTTATTAAATTTTGTTTATATCCCATCTTTAATAAATACGCCTTCCGTAATAATTTAACAAATCAGCAGAATAGAAATAAGAAAACATTTTTTTTTTTTTGACGGTAATCTTGGCGTGCAATAAAAACAAAACCGAAACGAAGCAAAGTTTATTGATATTATTGTACGATGTTATAGATAGTTTTTCTTTTTACAAGTGGGAAATTACCTTGGTTTGTAAAAAGATTTCTCTTTCAAGTAAATAAAGGCGAAGAAAGCAAGTAAATAAATAAATAAAATAACAACAACAAAAATTGGTGATAAACAACAAATAGGAGTTACTTACTCCTATTTGTTGTTTATCACCAATTTTTGATTGAATCAAAAACGAAAGTCAAATGGAAAATGTGAACCAAACCAAAATTGAAATATTTTTGATTTTCAGTCACTAAAATCAGCTTCGTTCAATTTTTAACATTTCCAATATTTAAAGGTAAAAAATAAATAAAAATTCATCAATTCTTCCCTTCACAAGATCGTATTGTGAATATTTAAAAAAAAAAAATAAATAGTTTTAAAATTTTCCTTTACAAATTGGAAAAGAAGTTTTTCTATTTTCTTTTTTTTCTATATTATACTGAACACAATTTTATTTATTATTTGTTCAAAATATTTATTTGCATTTGTGCTGTGTTCTACAGATGCAACTTCATATCTGGGCAGATATTTTTTGTTTAGAAGTCGAGTCGCTAGGTGAAAAAAGTTTTTAGAATTGTTTTATTTTGGTGTTTAATCGTTTTCGAAACTTGTGTGTGCGATCTGATTTTACTTTTCTTGTTTGAACAACTTTTTCTCTCAATCTTATTTACATTTATTTACTACTACAGGCATGCAACTTTTAGTACCTGGCGCAAAATTTGATTTTTTTTTCTTTTAAGCAACATGTATTAGTTTTAAAAAATAATCAAAAAATATATTTAACTAGTCTATATGGCATAGTGCATCTTTTTTCTTCTCCAAAAATCTAAAACACCTGCGCATGCGTGTCATACATCAGTTATTGTTTTGTTGTTAATTAAAAAGCCCCCCCCCAAAAAAAAATCATTTTCTATTTTTAAATAAATAGAGCCTTTTTCTTGAATTACATCAAGGGCATAAGTTATTGTCTTTTTTTTTTCTTTTTGTAACAACAGTGTCTTTGTGGGGGGCCAATGAATTCCTTTTTTTCTTACTATAACTCAAACTGTGATGATTTGAAAACATTTCTCAACTTCTCTATTTTAAAACTTTTAGTTTTATAATAAAAGTTTTAGTTCAACGAACACAACATATAAACTTAAAAAATGAATGGAAAAAATGCAAAAGAAAGATGCATGAATTTTTTTTTTTTTTTTTAAATCCCTGATCTGTCCTCAAGTTGAAATCAATTTTTTTTTTTTTTTTTTGTACTTATTGGAGTTGTCAAATAAGTTTTTTTTTTTCTGTCGAAAAAATAGACATTCTTTTTTGAAACTGTTTTTCTGGACTTCTCAAGAATTAAGCAAATAATGTTTAACCGTAAATAAATGACATTATGATTATTATTAATAATCCGAAATTCTGTTTTAATGTGACACCTTTTTTTTTTTTTTTTTTTTTAAAAGGGTCGTACTACTAACTAGTAGAAGGCAAATAAAAAATGTTTTTGCTGCAATATCGAAAAGTAAGCAACTGAATAAAATAAACAAAAAACATATGAATTTAAATTTTTAAAAAGTAAAAAAGGGCAGATTTTGTAAAGATTAACAAAAGTAAAAAATAAAGTGTATAAAAAAATTAATACAGAAATAAACAAAGTTAAGCTAAGCAGTGAAGAAATTTAAATGAGTTTAAAAATTAAAATAAATGTTATTATGCAACATTCTTTTTTGAAATTGATGGAAATTATTGATTGAGTTGAGTGTTGACATCGAGGATGGTATGACTAAAAATAGCGGAAATTTTAAAGTTTATCATCTTAAAGTGGTCTTGAGTTAATAAAAAAAATTTGAAGTGTTCATTTTATGCGCAATCAATTAAAAAAAATTATCTCTTACATTCGAACTAATGTCCTCATTCACAACGCTTCAGCCATTGTGCCCTCAGGCCTTCTTCAGGTGTCGCTCCGGGTAACATTCGGGTAATTTCAGATTGAACCCTTTATTTGATCTTTTCTTAAAATACTAAATGTCACCCAATACAAGGCTTGAAAGTCAATCAAGATAGAGGGTTACTGCTAAAAAAATGATTGATAAATCATTTATTGTTCATTATGATTATTAATGTTAAATGAAATGGAGTAAAGCGTGAGATGTGAATGAATGATGTTATGACATGTGAACATTAGGTAGGAGGATAGATAGCGATTGATTCCTAAATTGAAAAAAAAAAGTTAAAGACTGAGTGTTCCAAAACAATATAGGTTATTTTTGGGTGCTTTACATTTCCATATGGAGAAAATGAGGGTGATTTAACATTTGGGTTTGTATTCATTTTAAAAACTTTAATATTTTAATTTTTTTTTACATGTACTATCTCCATTACTAAAGCAAATAAACAAAGAATGAATGAATCAAAATAAAAAAAATTAATTGATTTATTTTTTATTTATTTATTTTTATTAAGTTCAAAATCATGCTCACTTTCAAAACATGAAGAAGAAAAAAACGATATTCCCAATTTTTTTAAACCAAAAATCATGGAATTATTGGATTTCATTGAAATTTGCAGCATTTATTCATTAATGAATGAACTTTATTGAATCTCTTTTTTTTTATGGGGGTGAGGTCAATTATACCTCCCCTTACTAAACTGATCTGTACTACTAATGAATTTTGGATGTTCCTAATTTTTATGATGCTAAATCCCTGAAAGTAGTAGAAAAAAAAAACAAAAAAAAAAAAAAACAAAATTAACATCGAATGTGAAAATATAGCCCATCTTCAAAGAATTGAAGAAAACAAAAAAAATTTATTTTGTAGAGAGTTACTGATACCTAATTTAAATAAAATAATGTATATTTTTTTTTTTGTGTTTCCACTGGAAAAATAAATCTCTCTAATTAATTTATATTTGTTTGTGAAAAATTGACATGTATTTTTACAGTATCATTTTAAAACTTTCAGATTTTGGTCATTGCTGTTGAAAATAAAAATGTGTTTAAACTTTAAAGAATAAAAAAAATGTAAATTTTAATACCATTTACAAGTGTGAACATTTTTTAAATAATTTTATTTTTTATTTTACAACTCTCTTATTTCATTTGTGATTGTGAGAATAATTAGGGTTGTAGCAGTACCATATGTACTGCAGACACACTAGCAATTGTGTTTCCTAGGCAATATAAATTGACAGAACAAAACCCTCTCCAGGCTGGTTTGAATTTGTTTTTTCCTTCTCAAACTAGTCACGAACCATTTTCAGTGTTCATTTTATGCACAATTAATTAAAATTATCTCTATTACATTTGAACTAATGTCCTCATTCACAATGTTTCAGCCATTGTGACCTCAGGCCTTCTTCAGGTGTCCGTCCGGGTAACATTCGGGGAATTTCAGATTGAACCCTTTATTTGATCTTTTCTTGAAAAGGCTATAGGACCCAGTCTGTTCTGCTCTTTTACCCATAGCTGGGGAGAAGAGATAAATATATACCTTTACAAGGGTATTAGCTTGTAAGTGAATGTAATGAACCCTGCTGGAATTTGAACTTGGCTCTCCGATTTTCTCAATCTGAGCTGCTATCCATTACTCCACTATCCCTCTACCATTATTCTACAGATGATCAAAAAAAATTTGTAAGTAGGAACAGGGTTGTAAGATAACGATTAAGTAAGGACATACCCTGCTGGAGGAAAAAAATGTATATTTTGTTATTTTTTTTTTTTTTGCAAAGAGCATGTAATATAATTAATCTTTAAAGGTTACTGTATTTTTTTTTTTTTTTTTTTTTAAACAAATGTTTGGAACAGATATTTTTAAAGTGTATTAATTTCCCTTTTGTTGGTATCCCTCAAATTCACTAATCAAACTGTGCAGAAGTGAGTTCATTTTTACTTTTTTGGTTAAAAAATATCTACAATTTTTATTTAAGGATGTTAAATAATTTTTCTTTTTTAGCAGATTAACTTTAGGCTACTACCTTTCAAATAAAACTACATTTTAATTTTAAAGAAAACGTTTAAATTATTTAAAAGGGGTTTTTCAGTTTTTCTTAGAAAGTCCTTGTATGTACCTACTGCTAATAGCTATAAATGATAAAGTTAAAACAAATATTTTATTTCGAGACAGTTAAAGCTCTCTCTCTCTCTCTTATATAATGGTGAAAAAAGTCAGTCTGAAATACTGCATTGTACTCTCTGACCCTCTTTGGGCTTACTTTGTACTCAGTAAGCCTTTTGAAATTCCAAATGAAACTCTTTATTTACTCCAAATGGATTGTTCACTATACTGTACATAATGGTAAGAAAAGAATATCATTCTATATCCATTAACAGGATTGGAGGATAAGACAACTGAAAGAATCATGTTATTCACTGGCAACTTTATCAGTAGACCTAGCATATAGATGAATATTATCAGGGATCTTTTGTTTGTGAGATATTCAAAGCCCATCAGGACACTTCACACCACTTGAATACAGACATCAGGTTTAAGGCCCCATAATTTAAACACTGGATTGTCCAAGGGACAAATGGTTTACTAGATTAAAGTGTTGATTAAAACATTGGGTTCTATGGCAATTCAATGTGGTAATGTTGAAAAGTTATGTACTCTGTT